CTAGAAGTGTTTAAACCTTCACCTTCGGCCATCTGCAGACATTTCAACTTCTTCTACTGTCTTGTCTGTCTGTCTATGTCTGTCCGTGTGTCTGTCTCGGTCCGTCTGTCCATATTTCTATGTGTGTCTGTTTGTCTCTATCCTTCAGGCTCCTGTCTGTCTGCTTCATCTATGTCCCTGGCTCTGTCTTCTTCTGTCTCTGTGAGCCTGCTGCGTCCATCCATGTCCCTGGCTCTGTCTCTCTGCCCCCTGTGAGCCTGTCTTGCCCATCCATGTCCCTGGCCCTGCCTTTCTTCTCTCTCTTGAGCCCGTCTGTCTATCTATGTCCCTGGCTCTGTCTCTGTCTCTCAGAGCCTGTCTGTCTACCCATGTCCCTGTCTCTGTCTCTCTGTCTCCCCTGCATCAGTCTGTCTATCATGTCCCTGGCTCTGTCTCTGTCTCTCTGTGAGCCTGTCTCGTTCATTCATGCCCCTGGCTCCTGTCTCTGTCTCTGTCTGTCCATGTCCCTGGCTCTGTCCTTCTGTCTCTGAGCCTGTCTGTCCATCTATGTCCCTGGCCCCTGCCCCTCTGTCTCTGTCTGCCCATCCATGTCCTGGCTCCTGCTCTCCGTCCCTCTGTGAGCCTGTCTGTCCATCTATGTCCCTGGCTCTGTCTTTTTCTCTCTGAGCTTCCCATCCATCTATGTCCTGGCTCTGTCTCTCCGTCTCTCTGTGAGCCTGTCTGTCCATCTATCCCTGGCTCTGTCTTTCTGTCTCTCTGTGAGCCGTCTGTTCATCTATGTCCCTGGCTCTGTCTCTCTGTCTCTCTGAATCTCACCTGCTTCATCCATGTCCCTGGCTCCTGTCCTTTCTCGTCTCTCTGTGAGCCTGTCTGTCTCCCATCCCCTATGTCCATGTCCCATTCTGTCCCTTTCTTCTCTGTCCTGTCTGTCCATCTATGTCCCTGGCTCTGTCTTTCTGTCTCTGTGAGCCTGTCTGTCATCTATGTCCCTGGCTCCTGTCCTCTGTCTCTCTGTGAGCCTGTCTGTCCATCTATGTCCCCATTCTGCCCTTTCTGTCTCTCTGTGAGTCTGTCTGTCATCTATGTCCCTGGCTCTGTCTTTCTGTCTCTGCATTCTCGTTCACCATCTATGTCCCTGGCCTCTGTCTCTGTCTCTGTGAGCCTGTCTGTCTATCTATGTCCCTGGCCTCTGTCATTTCTGTCTCTCAGAGCCTGTCTGTCCATCCATGTCCCTGTTCTGTCTTTCTGTCTCTGTGAGCCCTGTCTGTCTCATCCATGTCCCTGACTCTGTCTCTCTCTGTCTCTCTGTGAGCCCGTCTGTTCATCTATGTCCTGACTCTGTCTCTGTCTCTCTCAGAGCCTGTCTGTCTCATTCATGTCCTGGCTCTGTCTCTGTCTCTCTGTGACGTCCGTCTGTCTGTGTCTGTTCCATTACTACACATACTGATTTTATATATTTTTTTCTCACTCAATGTTATTCCCTTTCTTTCCACCCTTATCCTTTCTCCCTCCCTCCTTCCCCTTCCCTCTCCCTTATTCTTTCTAACCCTTTCCTCTGCCCTCCCCTCCCTCCCTCTTTTTCTCCCTCCTTCCCACTCCACCTCCCTTCCTTTCTTCCCATCCTCTCCCTTTCTTCCCCCTCTCCTCCCCCTTTCTTCCCCCACCATCTTCCTCCTCCCTAAATCCCATTGTTCCTCCCTTTCTCTCTCCTTCCTCCCCCCCCTTCCTCTGCTTCTTCACATCCTTCCTCCATTCTCCTTTGTTCTATTTCATCATCCCTTTTTTTTTGTTCTTTTCCTTTGTTCTTCTTGTTCATAAGCACTCTCTCTTTCTGTCCTCCTCTCTCTCTGTCTCTCTCTCTCCTTCTATCTCATCCTTTTTCTCTTTCTCCTTCTTCTCCACCAACTCTCCCAACCTCCTACACTAACTCATGCTTCCTTCCATCTCCTTTGCGTCTCTCCTTTCCCTCCCTCCTCCTCTCTGTTTCTCCTCCTCCCTCCTTCCTTCTCCTCTTTTCTCCTTCACGGAATACTCACAGATCAGGCTCTCACACTTTCCCCACATTTTCATCACCTTTCCTCCCCATCCCTCCTCTCTCTCTCCTTCCTCATTCCCTCCCTCCCTTTCTCTCCTCCCATCCTACTCCTTCCGTTATTACTTCCGCTACCAATGTTTTTCTGTACTCTCTTTTTCGAATCATGGAGATCCAATACCTGTTCTCTCTCTCTTCTCCCCTGTTCACCTGTTCACTCTGTTCAGTTCTTCCACCCTGTTCACTTTCACTTTTTACTCCTATATATATTGTTTATTTCACTCTTACCACACCTTTACATCTCTCCTTCATTTCTTCTTCCTTCTTACCCCTTTTTACCTCTCCTTTCTATACACCTCCCTCCCCCTTCCTCCCCCCTCCCTTCCCTCACGCTCTCATTTTTTCTCTTAATTATTTTTCTTTCAGAGACACTTGACCATGTTATCTCACTACTGCTGGGCCAGGGACTTGACTGCTTCATCAACTCTTTAAAAAAGGATTTATCTTCTTCCCTCTTTCTCTTCCCTATACATCCTCCTCCTCCTCTTCTTACCTTCTACACATCCTCCTTTCTCCTTTCTCCCTTATACCCTTCCTTCTCCTCTCCCATCTTCTTCTCTTCCCTTCTACCCATTCTTCTCCAGCCCTTTCTTTTACATCTCGTTTCCTCTTCTTCTTCCTTCTTATTATCTCACCGTACACCTCCTCCTCCCCTTCCTCCTCCTTCACGCCTCCTCCTCCTCCCTCCTCACGCCTCCTCACGCCTCCTCCCTTCTC